AGTGTGGGACCTTGCGCTCAAAATACAGCAGGGCTGAAATCAGGGGTTGGCACTTCTGATTTGTACTTTTAATACAATGAACTGCCTTTTGACTGCTCTTCCCACTGGGCCTAACTACAGCCTGCGTGTTAAAAAAAAAAATTTGGCTGGCCTGCTTTTGACTAGAATTTAGCTTGAGTTGCATATTGCTGTTGCAGCAAGTTCTCTAGTTTCTGCTTCATTTTATTGCTTTATTCTACTTGAATTTGGGGGGGTGGGGCAGCTTAGATGACCTTTCCACTACAAATTATGTGCAACTTTATGTTAAAAGACTTAACAACTTGTGTGATATCCAAATTTCCAGAGGAGTTTTGTGTGTCAAGGATTTGGTTGACTCTTGCACGAGGCATGGTATCTGAGGCAGAATAACACTCGTTAAGTACAAACGTCTCCCACTTTCATCCATCTTAGCATGTATTCAGCTGAACAGTACCTAATGCTCCTGAAAGCCACAGGACTATGTGCAGAGCTACATGTACTCATATCACTGCGCTTTCAGTGCTACAAGGCTATCACCTGCTTTGGTGCAGTGGTTCGCGTCCTCTACCTTCTCACTAGGACTAACGTTGCATCAGTTATACCAAGAGATGGCCCCAACAGTGCTGTAGCATGAGAACTGTGAAGGCTCATGAGGCCCTTTGTGAGGATGGGTGGTTCTGCCAGGGGGACACTGCAGTTTTCTATTTCAGACTGGTCTCTTGACTAGGAGCTGTTTGGTCATGTCTAAGTACTTCTAAATTTGAGATTGGGTGACTTCTGTACCCAACTGCTGCTATAGTTGTTTTTAAAACTGGAATATTGAAATAGTTGAGTTGATATAATCAATGTTTATTTCTAGTTTACTGGAAATTTCAAGTTTATGTTTTACTGTTTTTAATGCTATAGGCAGAGAGACTTGAAGTTAAAAAAAGGCAACAAGAAATGCAAAGAAGAGAGGTGTTCCTTGAAGATCAATATCAGTAAGTAAAATTTGAAACTTATTACCTAAAATTCCTCGTCTGGTTGCCCTTCTGTGTTGTGGTTTGTTGGGTTTTTTTTGTAATCTGTTTGCTTTTCTCTGGTTTGGGGCTCAGGAAGGGTTTGGCTTCTGTTGCTTTTCACTTTTTGAGTTGAAACTTTTGATTTCAGGGCAAGTGGCAATGGGCACAAACTAAAACACAGGAAGCTCCTCCTGAACATCAGGAAACACTTTTTTACTGTGAGGGTGACTGAGCATGGGTACAGGTTGCCCAGGGAAGTTGTGGAGTCTCCATCCTTGGAGGTATTCAAAAGTTCTGGGCAACTGGCTCTAGGTGGCCCTGCTTGAGCAGGGGATTGGACAAGATGACCTCCAGAGGTCCCTTCCAACCTCAACCATTTTGTGATTCTGTGAAATATTCCAAGCCTCCTGCATACCTTATTCTGTGAGAAATTTGGTTCAGTAGATTTCTCTTAGCTTCTCAAAAACATACATTTTGAAATGAAAACTGTGAATTATAGAACAACTTTGTGCTTTCTTTCTCTAAGTGAATCAATATGTGATCATTCAATCCAAGACTAGTTATCGAAACAGGATCTAGAATACCTCCTTAACATCAGATTTAGGTATGGCTTAACTCCTAACATAATTAATTCCATTGGCAGTGAAGTTCCTGCCTTGCCAGTTCACTCTACCCTATTTATTTGTTTTTAACTGATCCAAACCAATTCTATCGCATAATTAACACACAATGCTGTTTAGTCACCTTTACCTTTTTTATCTTTGACTCCTGAAATTACTCAGCTGTGCTCTTAGCATGATTGATTGCTCTTTCCTCCACTGTGACCTTTAAAGGAGTCACTTTTGTCCCATGCTAGTAGCTCTTGTTCCTTCATCATTTGCCCAGGCTCTGTTCTGTAATGTATAGATATTTTAGTGTTTTCTCACTAATCTCAGCCTTTCTTGTCTTTTTCCTTTTATTTCTTCCCATTTGGCTTTAGGTACAGATCTTTCCTTAAATACATTGCCAACGTTTGTCTCTAGATACTGGTAGTTTGCCTGCTGTTTGTCCTCTGTTTGTACCGGTGTGGATTTCCCACACACAGACCCCTTGATTCCTCAGGATTTCTGAAGAACCTGCACAGCTTTAGATCTCTGCCTGTTTCTGACAGACTAGGCACCTTCATGCCCTTCAAGCCTAACACAATAACAATCTCATCAGATCTTTTCAGTGCAGGGTCTTCAGTTATGAGACTTGCTTTTTCCTGAGGGGATTGTCAGAGTTCTTATCTTCATATTATCTGAGTTTTTGTCTTAAGGCTTATTCAGTTATGAACAGAGACACATCTCTTCCCTTCCCTCACCTTCACTGTCTGTACCTTTTTATGCTTAGGATGAAATGAATTCCACTGATCAGCGCTGTTTCCATTGAAAGTAAGCTTCGTTCTGTCAAAAGCAGGCCCAAACCCTCTGAAACACTTTCATGTGGGCAGTCGTTTGGTACCCAGGTCGTGCAGGAGCTCAGGCTGCCTGGGCACTGAGAAGAAGCCTGACTGGCAGCCATTCTGTCCACTGATTTAGGAAAACCTTGTGAGCATTCAGCTGGTGTCATCTTAGGAAACCAAGATGACTGATGCAACTGAAGGTAAAGATGGACTGTCAAGCTCCATTGCTTGAGATCATGTTCAACTATCAGAAGATTATTTGTATGTACTCTGTATGGAACATAGACCAGGAAGGCCCAGTAGATACTGCACCTGGAGGAAGTGAGCTGAAAACCTACCAACAGTATGCAATTTTGGTTGAACAAAAACCTGCCGTGCTGTGCAGAGTGATACTAGTGCCTTCCCTGGTCTGAAGGAATCTTCTGGTGGGCAGAGGAAGATGAGTCTTTACCACTGGATGTTGTTGAGGTTGCATTGTTAAGATACACTGGCATTATGGAGCACAACATCCAGGAGTAATGGAAAGATACTCTGCAACATCTCAGGTCTTGCAACTCCATTGAAGTACTGCTGGTTATTAGAGACATGTTTGCATAAAAGTGCTTGGTATTTAAAGATGTGCTTTTGCCTACTATGCAAAAATGAGTGACTCATTCCTTCCATTATCTAAGACCCTACATCTAGAGATGAAGATAACAAATATGAGGTTGTGCCCCTTTCCTCACTGTCTCTGCTAGAGTATTTTGATCTCCTTCCCTGCTTGCTGGGAGAGGGGGGAAGGAAGGTCATGCACTGCATATAAATGAATGACGTCTGCAAAGTCATGGCCTGTGGAGCCATTTCAAGAGATAAGCTGCCTTGTTAGTCTGTCCTCTGTAAGCATCTGTAGCTGCAACATCACAATTTTCCTGAGGAGATCAATGCCTACCAGCAGTCTCATTAGCTGGGAAACCTTTTAAAATTGATCATCGCCTCTAGTTGTGTCAGCCTCCATGGGGTATGGCCCAATCAGTACCTCTCCTGTATGAAGTGTCGCTTCTATTTGATAAGGAAAGGCACTTAACATTCTCATGTCATTAACATACTCTGACAATAAAGTATAATGCTGCCCAGAAGTTCATTGTTCTGATTAAATTCCCGTCACTGTTAAAAACAAGAACTTCTCACTGAAATCCCCTTTTCAAAGGGTGTAAAGTGAAGTAAGTGAATGCCAAAAGGAAAAATTGTCTGCAACCTTGTCCAATGTCTGCAGAATACAGTTACTTCCTATCTCTTGAAAGCCTTGTTACCTTCTTTGTGTACAAGTGGCCCTCGAAAGTCAGCTGTATCTGTTATCACAGTTGCTTGAGTATGTGTTTGTGTCTTGTGAGAATGAGGGCTAGACATGCATGCAGAGTGCTGTGGAGAAGTCTGCAAGCCTCTCTCTTTTGGGATCAGCAGCTCCTCTGACTCAGGTGGACCCCAGCTCTATTAGGTGACTAAAATGGACAACACTCACAAGGTATCTCCTAAAGCAGCTGTGTATAAAAAGCCTGAAGAGCACAGAGGAGCAGACTTTGGGCTGGGGGAGCTGCTGCGTGGCAGGCTTGCTACTGTTTGTACTAACAGAGGAAAAGCACTTGAGGGATTTATTGGTGATAGCATCGCTGTGGTTCTGCCTCTGCAGATGCCAGATCTAGAAAATCAGGAGTACACGTGCAGTTTTCTACCATAAACTACTTACATGTGAAATGGAGTCCTTCCTTCTGAGTAGTGGTGTCTGGGATGCATTTTACGTTGATGGCCTGTGGTAGAGACTGTGTTTGTGTCAGAGTACCTTAAAAGGTAATAAATGCTTGTGTAGTCCATACTTTGCAATTGCTAATCCTTGTAAGGAAAGGACTGAGTGTCCGTCTTTCCACATGGGGCTGAAGAAGAAGTTAGATGGCTGTCCCAGGACTTTTCAGGACACCCCTCTTTAGTTAGGACATAAAAATTGTCATTTAAATAGTAGTGAGGGGTGGCTACCTCCTGACTTGCTTTTCTCTGTGGTTTGCTGTGCAGGCTGTATGCATCTGTGCTTGAACTCTAGCTTGTCTCACCGTATGGTTTTATCCCAGCTCTCTAGTAAGGTGCTTTGATTTAATTTGGATTTGACTTCCCAGAAACTGTAGTGTTGGATGTGGTTCACTGCTTTTCTAACAGCCATCTACCTGTTTATGTTATGGGAAAAGCAGCCTAGAATGTGGGGTTACATTTTAATAGCACATGACGGCTGTTGTATCACTTCATCCTTCTCTTTGTTACATATTCATGCCTCTGTTTTTGTGAAGGTTGTACTCCTGTAAAAATTCCTGGCACTGCTGCACTTGGGTACATATGTGCACTCAATATATTCTGCTCAGAATGTGGAGCTGGAAACCAAATTTGCCGGAGTGCCTCTAAGTGCATATTCCAAACACAATGCAGGAGGTTCACCAAACCAAGCTGATATACACTTGCCTGCCAAAGCAGTTTTCTCAAAAGTCATAAAATGCAAGAAAATAAAACCTGAATCAAAACAGAATTTTTTTTTATTTATCTATTTTTACAGGATAAATACTAGTGTCCTTGCCAGTTTTCAGTCCCCTATGATGTGTGGTTCAAACAGCAGGCTGGTAACAAATTTTCCCCACAGAAGTGCAAATGTAAACCTGACTAGACTTTTAATATAGGTTGCTAGAGAGAATGAAAGAGGGCTCGCACAAAAAGAGTTTGCAACCTTGAGAATCTTTTGTTTTCTTCTTTTCGTCACAATGGTCTTCGTTTTGTTCATTTGCTCCTGATTATTTTAAGCATTGTCAATTATTTAGCTAACAGGCAGAAAACTAGGCTTTTATAGACATCCAAAGGGACTCTCTTGAGTGTAATAATGAAGGCAGTTTATTGAACGCCTGTGAGGTTGCTTTCTAATTGTACGCATTAATCTGCCCATGCAAGCTGGCTGAAAATATAGAAGCAGATTGCACATGCAGATGGAGCGCACAGAATGGAAGATCTATGCAATAGACTTATACAAAACTGCATTTTCCTTAAAACTGGATTTATGCTTATTACTACAGATAATAAATGAAACTTGATGTCTAAAATAACTTCCGAAAGTATTGGATGAGTTGGTGGGAGGAAAGAATAGCCTAGCTGTATTATTTCATCCAGTCAGGAAAACAAGAAAAGCAAGTGGGTTGACAGGAAAGATTAGTTTTGAGTGTGGGTGGGAAGTGTTGAAAATAATTCTTCTGAGAAAGTTGCCTTTTTTTTTAAAAACCTATTTTTATACTTCCTTGAAGCCTTATACCTGAAATGAACTAGTGCCACATTTTTTGTTCTTATCCCCAAGAACAGGAACACATGCTCAAGAACTTGCAGACAAGAAAGCCTACCAGCCAAAGATAGCACAATTTTGATCACTATCATTAGATTTGTCCAAGTCCTCCTTAATATGCTTGTACATTACTCCCAGTAAAGTCTGTGAATACTGCATTAAGCTTGGTATGTGGCTACTGGAAGGATTTGTGCTGGAAAGCAAGTGAACTAAATA